TACACCTGGGTGGAGAGAGGCACTGTGAGAGTAAAGTGTCTTGCCCAAGAACACAACACAATGTCCCCGGCCAGGGCTCGAACCCGGACCGCTTAATCCGGAGACTAGCACACTAACCATGAGGCCACCGCGCCTCCCATACATCGTACATCGTAACACACGTCAACCAACGTGCTGTGCCCAGGAGCCCGCTCATGAGTAAATTTCGACCAGTCCAGTCAGGCTCGATTCAACGTCTGTTTTCTCGTTTTCTTTCCATTTTTGTTACATGGAAATTTTGATTTGGTTTCTCAGTATGTGACTGAAATGTTTTTTGATTGAATATCACCCGGCTACAGTCTTTCAAGTCCCGTTTGCCGGTTGGCGGTTTATTTTCCGCTGTTAAAAAAAGACGAAAAACAGCTACCAATTTTCAGTGTCAATTTCCAAAAATGAAGCACACAGTAGAAGCTAAGACACATGTTTTTTTTGTTTTTTTATCAAAATAATAATTATCGGAAAAAATTACGCTTTGATCGCATTAGAAGATTATTCAAGGTACATCTGAGAGAATCTTTCCCTTATCTCGTATATCATTTAGATCGGGTAACAAACAGCTGTAGAGAAGCAGTAGAGTAACGATTTTTAAATGCCGGAGATAACTCTTGCCAGTTTTTATTGCACGCACTTGACATTTTTCGCTCCCTTGGCTGAAATTATTTGTTTTCTGTTGATTTTAACATTGAGCTGAAAATGAAAACTGATCTTTCGGTCATGGTCATGATAATCACTTACACGCTGCTCAAAATAGCTAGACGATTATTTTACCAATGGTTATCTTAGAAATACTTCGTTATGAAAATTACTTGAAAAGCAAACACGAAATGTTGACAACAAACGAACAAGCCTAAACTAATCAGATCGATCAAGTTGCCAAGACAGAAATGGCACCTTGAGGAAAAAATTAAATCATCAATTAGCTCGCATGGCTTGTCCGGCAGCAATACTGAACGACAAAATTAAAGTTGATTCGAAGTTGCCCGTCGTAATTCCATGCTGGCTTGGGCTCGAGGAAGACTGGTGCTATGATTCAATTCCAAACAAGTAGCTTTCGAACTGTTTTTTCAGTTCCGACTCAAAAATTTAAGAATTACTTTCGAAAGTTTTACAATCGTGGAGTAATAGCTAGTTATTTATTCAGCTTCACTTTCCAAAGAGTGAATTAATCAACGTGGGTCGATCCATATAAGGCTCGTTAACAGCAAGTGAAACAGCATATACTGAAGGTGGCTTGTCAGTTTTAATACTTCCTCAAACTCGAAGACAAAGATGTTTCGACATGTTCTTCTTGGTTTCATTGTCTTCCTTTCTCAACTGACCGTGGCCGTAGCCCACTTGTGTAGCGCTAACAGCTGCGCGGACTGCGTCAGCTCGCGTTTCATTCAGTGTAGGTGGTGCAAGAGGGATAACAAGTGCCATACACCAGGCGCTGATGCCGCGAGTCCTTGCAGCAAAGGAGAAAATGTTGCTGAGCCCTCTGACTGCGAGGACGGAGTGCCCCATTACGATTCTGAGGTATCGATGAAGATGTTGCTTCTCTCAGCGGTGGCGTACGCCCCAAGTCACAAACAGGAATGCCTCGAAAAAGTTCTGCCATATGAAAAGTTCCAACTTCAGCGTGTGGCTACGCAGAAGTGTGACATCTTCGAAAATGAATGCTCTGGCTATGTTGCTGTGTCGCATGCCCTGAAAGCTGTCGTGGTCGCGTTTCGTGGCTCTGCAAAATATGAGCAGGCGGTATTCGAATTCTTGGAATCGTTTCTTTCCCCTGAAGTTAGCTTTCTCAATGGTAAAGTTCAATCCTACTGGAAGAGAGCCTTTTTTGTGTTATGGCCGAGCATGGAGGCGGAAGTGAAAGCTCTTGTTGTGAAGAACCCATCTTATCAGATCTGGGTCACGGGACATTCCTTAGGAGGAGCAATAGCTTCGTTGGCGAGTACTTGGCTCGCTTATTACGACATAGCTCCGCGTAAAAACATCATCTTGTACACGTTTGGCATGCCTCGGGTTGGTAACTACAAATATGCTCTGCAACACGATCAACTGGTCAACAACAGTTGGAGAGTTGTTAATTACAATGACTTAGTCCCTCATTTTCCATTTGTAATGGGAGTACCAAATAAAGAACGTGGTCCGTACCATCATGGCGTGGAGGTTTTCTACAGTGAAGAGGCCGTCAGCGTGAATTCTACACACAGGGAGTGTCACGGGAAACCGTATGACGAAGATGCCACATGCAGTTTCTCGGAAAAGGAACTCTCTATCCTACGACACTTGAAGTACTTTAGCATTCACGTTGGATCGTTCTGGATGGAAAAATGTGTTCAACGGCTTAGCGTAAAAGGATCGAAAGCGAAATATTTAAGGGTTAAAAGGAGCGAGGCTTCGAAGGCGTTTCACGGAAAATAACGGGTTTTTCACGTTCTATTCATTTACTGTCCGTTTTTCTCTATCATGCTATCATGGCAAATTGATAATAATAATAATCATCATCATCATCATCATCATCATCATGATAAAACATTTCTATAGAGCACACCACCAACTAGTTGTCCGGGGCGGATCATTTGATTTTGATGGGAGAGGGAGGGAGGGGGCGCGGGGTATTCTTTTTTGGATTTGTTCCACGCGATCTCGCCAAAGGGACGTCCCTTTTAGCAAGACGAAGAGGTAGATATAATTGTTCACATGACAAGATAGTGATACTGTAATGTAATCATGTTGCTTTCTAGTTGTCAAAGTGTAAACGAAATAAAACGATGGAGATTCTCAGTGGCTATTTCAGTGTATGGAATGTTCTACCAGAAGTTTATTATACCTCTTCTTCCCCTGGTTTGGTCAAAGCTTGAGATTAACTATAATACAACTGAATTTTTAACTCAGTCTGATTTTCAGAAAGGAGTTTGTCCACGGGCAGTTCAGAGCACAGTTTTACAGCCGAATTGCATGAAATTCGCGTCCCTCGGTATAATAGCATTTTCAAAACGCCTTTATTTCGAGCGACCTAACTCGGTCAAAAAGTTTTTTTGGTTTGAAATGCTGTTCTGGCTTTCTCTATAGGCAAAGCTAAAGAATTCCCGACCACGTAGAGAATAAAAACCCCCAAAAGAATGTGTATTCAGTTTCCCCAAGTTCGTCAGAGAACACTTGATATAAAATCAAAAGAATCAAAAGCACCTGTCTTTTGCTATGAATAACAAAACCCTGGTCACTCAAATTTTGACACTTCTCCCCTCACCCTGACGAAATTGAACTGCACGCAATTAATTTTGTTGGTTTACCAGCATTACAACAGCTCAACTTGATTAATCTGAGCTCTAGCACTTGAAGAGTTCTGAGACAATAGATAAATAAAGCAATCATCGGTAACGTAGTAGTGATGATATTGTTCTGATCTATCTCTTCTTCACTAGAGCCCTTAACACATCACAACACAAACTCTTATTCAGCAGCATTAAGCGGCTATCCGTTTGCCATGCGGACCTATATTTTTCCCACTTTCGATTTTGCTCCTAGACCCCTAGCTGGGATGCAAGTGACGCAGTTGCCAACTATTTATGTTGTGACGGTCAATTTAACCTCGGCAACAATGCTGGCAATATGGCTATGATGTCTACAGTTAAAATTGGAATCAAAATAAAAGCTCTTTTTAGCTGGAGTGTGTTTAGCCTCTTTTCTCAATTTCTCTAATATTTAAAAAAGTTTAACAAAGACTAAGTGCCGCTGAAACGAAATTTGCGTATCTGAGATTTTCGCTTAATTATAATGTTTGAACCTAACTTGAACAAGCTGTCAACTTTTTTTTCGCAAACGGTAAGCGAAAACTGCTTTTTGAGCCGTGCGAATTTGGCTGGTTGAGGCCAAAATTGGCGGCCATCTTGACACGGCCAAAACAGCCTTGTGACGTCACTGGTTGTATTACTCTTATGCCGCGCTGAAAATTAAGAGTGATAACGGGAGAACAAACTAGTGTTCTAACCCCCAAAAAACATCTTTAGGACATCGCAGAACTGCAAAGAAGTCAATAACAGTAAACTTAAACGTGAGGAGACTCGATCTTCGAGTTTTGCCCTTTTCAAGTAAGTCTTTTTTTTTCAAAAGATAAAAAATATTTGTTAGCGATGTTTGTCCATTGAGGTTTTCATAATAATAATTTTCTACTGATAAATACGGGTTGTAGTGTAGTACCAATCTTGAGACTGAGATTGCGCATTTGCCTTCTAACCGCGTTAGCTGATGTTTAATCTTTGAAGGGTATATATAGCGTCCATCGGTATAATAACATTTTCAAAACGCTTTTATTTCGAGCGACCTAGCACGGTCGAGATGTTTGACTTTATATACTGTTCCGGCCTTCTCGACGCGACAGGCAAAGAATTGCCTATCGTTTAGCCCTTGTAACTGGCGGTTACCGTATAGAGCGTAATAACGAGTGGCCAAGCCGCGAGTGGTCTGGAGGAAGAATGAGTGTTTTTTGTTTCTCTCACCAGGCCCCTCGGGCTTGGCCACTTGCTCGCTACCCTGCGTGCAGTTGGTTTCTCCTAAGCCGAACCTTCTGCTCGGCGCTTCACATACGGTTAACCTCATTGCGCCTTTCCCTCTTGGACACAAGCGTCCAAGATAAAATGTCTATATACACGTAGGGAATCTAGGGAAATTGTGTACGAAGTTTTCCCATGTTCTTCACAGAGCACGAAATATCCAGTCAATAGAATAAATAGCATTTGTCTGTTACTGGGAATACCAACACCTTGGTCACTCAAATTTTGCCACTACCTCCCTCACCCAGACAACAAAATTGAATTGCAAGCAATTTATTTTGTTAATTTAGCAGCAGCATTACAACAGCGCTTACAAAGCTTTCACTCCTTACTTGAAATAATCTGAGCTCTAGCACTTGAAGAGTTCTCGGACAATAGATAAATCAAGCAATCTTCTGTAACGTAGTGTGATGGTATTGTTCTAATCTATCTCTCCTTTACTAGAGCACTGAACACATCAATAAATCACATAACAAACGACTCTTATACAACACCATTAAGCGGCTATTCGTTTGGCATGCGGACCTACATTTATTTCAACTTTCGCTCCCAGACCCCAAGTTGCAAGACAAACCGTCCTGCTAAATACTTTCTAGCGACCCATGTCTCTTAATCCTCTCTAAGAGTTTTGCTGCCAGCTTATTTATGGTATTACGTTCAATTTAACCTCAGCAACAATGCTGGCAATATGCTGATAACATTAACAAGTCAAATTCGAAAGTAACAGCTCCTTTTAGCTGGGGTGTTTTCAGAATCTTGTCTGCCTCAATTTCTTTAATAATTCATCATGTTTAAACAGAAATAATCACCGCGACTTTGGAACACGGTTTTAATCCCAGTTTTCACTGTTGTTTGAGATTTTATTGAAAAGATATATCAAACACTCGAGACTGTGTTAGCCAGAATTACTCTACCACGCTTGGTATGCCATCTTTCTTCTAGGCGTTTTGAAAAGTGATAAAACAGGGAGTAACGTTTTTCATATAAATCGATCTCCACTCAAAACTGGTCACTGGCAACCAGTAACCGGTAACAAAAGAAATTATTGCCTTGATAGAGAACTAACTTCTCTCCAGACCGTCAATAAGCATGAAGTTATGGAGAGCTGTGAGGAGAATCTGCACTTTGACACCACAGCTTTAAAGAATAGGAAACAAGCCTCGTTGTCCACAATTAGTGCTGTGACCACTGGATGGTCTTAAGGTCGACTCCTTCTTGAACCATCTCCCACAATGGGCTGCAAGGAATAAATAACAAACACTGAAAAAGTTTCCTTTCCTATATAGAAAACCGAAACAACGATATTAAACAATCACCAGAAGAAAGGTAACGACTTGACGAGAAAAACGCGGGAAAATTCGCTTGGTGTGGTATTATTTACGTACGTGTTGGTCAATAGAGCAGACGCAATGCGTTGAATGAATGAAGCCTGTTTACTGATGATGTACTACACAGAATTTCCTATAACGCGGCTGAAAAAGTATTCATCGAAAAGCCGTTTTATTGACAGATACTAACAAATATTGCTAAAAGGAAGGTTTTAGGTTTTACCAACCTCATCTCACGAAGACGCTTGACATGCTTAATTGTTCTTTCCACAGTGTAATCTATTTCTTCTTCTGTTGTGAACCGTCCGATTCCAAACCTGAAAATGGAACACAATCAGCGAACACATAAGCAATCTCGCTCCCAAACCCGCGCGGTCGGCGGTGTCCGAACGCTCGACTGAACAAAATCACGACATATGGTAACGAGTTTGCGACATGAGACCATTAGAGTAGTTGAAGGGAGGTTCATTCCCAAGTCAAAAATATTAACTCTCGCCGCTGACTGCCATACATTTCTTTCCATGTCAGTGCTGATAATTTAGTTTTAAATCAAAACAATATTCCTTAGTTCATGGTTCCTTTTATTCTCGTCACCAGTCTCCACGACAATGTAATAACAAAGAGAAATTTTTATGTAATAGCTCATCAATCTTGTCTCACTCTGGATCCAAATCTGATAAAATTGATACAGTTGGGCAGAAGCATATATATGCTTCTGGTTGGGACATTGTAACGAAATATCGATTTAAAAAGAATATTACAAAAGAGGAAAAACTTTACCGAAGTGCAAAATCTACAACTTTCCTTAACTAACATGCTACATAACATCATTTCAACAATATCCGCGAGAATCGATCTCCAGAGGAAACAGCAAGCCGTTGCATACCAACAAAGCGGAGCTTAAGTAAACCACGACAGCGACGCCAACGAGAGCGTCAGCGGTCACCAAACAAAAGGTTTCGCGCGCAAGACAACAGCTCTGTACATGCGTTCTAAATCTTTGAATATGTGTATGAAATGACTAAGTTCTGCGTATTTTGGAGAAGGTGAAACACGACGCCTAATTTTTCGTATTTTCTTTTCTAATTGAATGAACGCTGTCATCATTACCTAATTAACCTGAGAAAGTTTTTAGGAGGGTAGACGTACCGAACAGATCTAGACACTGAGACGATTTCGGAAAAAGGGAAAAAATTCGAAGGAAAAATATAAATACTTTTTTCACGAGGCGTCGTTCTGGGCGTCGCGACCGTCATTGCTAACAGAGGCATGTGCAAACAAATTTGTTTGCTCTTTGTGCAAGCCATACCTGATAGAGGAGTGAGCGAGGTCTTCATCGGCACCTATCGCTCGGAGAACATAGGAAGGCTCCAACGAAGCTGACGTACACGCGCTGGAAGGAAAAAGAATTATGGTTAACGTGAGTACCATTGCCACCTCCTTTTAGACCCAAGATCAGCATCGAAAATCTTCTAACCGAGTTTCAACATTTTCCTCAAGTGCACTTGAGAGAATTTGACTTAGAATCGAGTTGCTCTTCAGATGGTCGAGTTCTTTATTCTAAAAACGTAAACTGACTGACTTAACGTCGTCGTTAGTTTGAATAAAATTGAAGAACTTAACGGCTTCACGGTTTTCATGTTAAAGAAGCGTAAAATATACATGTGGTTGTGACCACATTTGGGTAAACATTTGGCGTTTGTGCATTCATGTAACACACTGTTATGTCCCCACCTTCCTGAAGACAGCGCCACGTCCTTAAGAGCCATCAAGAGACTCTCTCCCTCCACAAAGGCGAATGACAGGTTCACACATCCGGGATAAGAATGTTCCGGGTCACCGTTCCTGATCACGTGAGTTAACCCGGCTGCGATGCCATTCACCAGTCGATTGGACAGCTCTGTTACCCTTTTATGGTCATACTGCAGAAAAAATTAAAATAACGAAGATACGAAGATAAATCAAACACACAAAATGAGAGGCCATCACTGTATTCTTTAAAGGAATGGTCACATCTTGTTTCATGCTCTCATCACCTTCTTACAGGCTTACAACAGGACTTGAGAACAAAGACAGGTTAGGGCTTATACACTATTGTGTCAAACAAAAGGTAAATGAAATTGCCTGCAGAGGAACCTCTGCTTGCGGAAACCGTCATAATGCAGACACCTTTACATTATGGACAGTTCATTTAATTAAAGGAGCAACGTCATGGTTTGCGCATCTGGAAAAGTTGGGCCTACATTTTTTAAGTTCGTCGTTTGTAATCCTTGTTAATCTTCTCCAGCCTTAACCAGCCTTGTTCCTTTATGGTTTATTATTACCTCTTTGCTGTTTTTCTATCTTAGTAAACTATTATTTTCAGGTTACCGTCAATTTAAAGGTAATTTTGTACGCGGCCAAAATAACTCAAAATACCGAGACTGAGCTCCTTTAAGTTCCAGAGAAGCCAGAATCCATATAATCTCTCCATAAAATTGACTGTAAGTTCTAGTCACTTGGTGCCTGTTTGAAAGAGTTTCTACTGATATTTTACACGCTGCGGAGTTTAGCTTATTTGTTTTGTTTTTGCAGTTCTTACTCTGTCGGTGAAGTGCTTAGATTTTGCTGCATTAAATGACTGGGGCTCATCATTGCAAGGAAAAAATTTTGGAAGAATAAAGGAAACCTTGGAATAGGGGAATCTATTGATTCTGAACTAACAACACAAGTTTACCTCTAGTTCATCCATAGCCACTTCACAAGCTGCTCCCAGCCCAACTGCTAACACGTGCGGTACAGTACCACTGCGCATGCCCCTAGAGATAATCACAGACTCATATTGATTACCAGAAAATAGTGTCAAATACTGTTTTAAATAATAAGTCAAATTATTCTGGCATTTTGATTGACTCTTACTTAAGATTTATTGGAAGAAAGACGTATAGATAAAGTCATGAACAGCTTTTTGTTTCTTTATTATATAAAACAGCTAGATCCCATGTTGCCGTGAATCTTTTCAGTAATAGATCACAGAAGACGTCAAAATGTGATAGGAACATCTGTGATAGACTCGCCTGACGGCTCATGTGGCTCTTTTTTTGTTGTTTTTTTGACGTCTTCTGTGCATGATCTATTACTGGAAAGACACACGGCAACATGGAATCTATTTGTTAAACATGTACATGTAACAAACACAACCGCAAGAGTATAATCTGTCATACAAGAGCTGAAATCAAACCTGCTGTTAACCAAACAGAATGAGATTTCAGAATTTTGTGATAGTTTTGATTAATAAGTTGATTGTGTGGTTTATAATACCTCTCCTGTCCTCCCCCACTCTGAATAGGCTCCACCCTCACACGAGGCCTTCTCCTGATGTACAAGGCACCGACACCTGTCACAGTTAATTAACACAAATAATGGCCTAATGACCAACAAACAAATTCTCCTTCATTAGTCTCCACACATCTCTTACAGTAATACATAATTATAGTAACGATAATTTGCTTAAGATCAAGACAACTTCTCACATCTTCAAAAATATCCGTAATCGAAGTATTAATTTTTCTTGTATAGAAAATGTTTTCCACTACTTATGTTTTGTGTAGTTTGAGATTATTCAAACTCAAAACAGAAGGCCACACAATATAAACAGAAAATCCTACCCCAAAGTTACAAAACTGAAATCAAAATTATCCGTAATTCTAGCTTAGTTTTATCGGGTTTTGAACAATCCAGCCCTGATGCTTATGCTTGATTATGCTATAAACAATAGTTCTTGGAGAGATTTGATGTCGATCAAACTTTAGTTCAGTCTATGAGACGCAAACTTTAAATTTAGCTACAGGCACATGCCATAGTTACTGTGTATGTGTTCTTAGGGAAAGCACTCCACCCTCACAAATGTTCCTCTCCAACGAAACTGGTCTGATGACAGCTATACTATAACATTGTTTTGCCCATACTCTTGGTGATTTAAAGAGAAAATAGAGGGAGTGTAGACAGACTACATTATACAGGGAACAGAGAGAGAGGCACTGTGGGAGTTAAGTGTCTTGCCTAAAAACAAGACATAATGACCTTTACCCGTGCTTAAAGGAGCTCAGTCATGGTTTGCGCATATTGAAAAGTTTAGCCTCAATTTTTCAAATTCGTTATTTGTAATCTGTGTTAATCTTCTCCATCCTTAGCCATCCTTGTTCCTTTAGGGTTTATCATTATCTCTTTGGTGTTTTTCTATCTTATTAAACTGTTATTTTCAGGTTTCCTACCATTTAAACGTAATTTTGTGTGTGGCCAAAATAACTCAAAATACCGTGACTGAGCTCCTTTAAACTCACACTACTTGGTGTGGACTAAAGAAAACTGGATCATGGAAATGAATTACCACCTCCACTTAAGGCAGTTTAAGGAAATACAGTCTGAAAACTTAGCAATGTACCTTTCTGAGACAGAGGATGTCGAACAACAAAACTAAGACTAAGAGCATCCATGTTGGATTACACTGAAATGCAAATGAGAAAAACTAACTGTGAAAAAAGTTATCATACCTTTAGGTCCATAAATCTTGTGCCCACTGATTGACATAAGGTCAATCTTCAGTTCATTCACGTCAAGGGGAATCTTACCAACTGCCTGAGCTGCATCTGTGTGGAAGAAGATTTTGTTCTTGCGACAAAGGTGTCCTACAAGAGAACAATGCATTAATTTTTTTAGTAAACTCAGGAATACTGTACATATAGAGAAGGTTCACATGCATGCCTTTTCGTCAATCTATCACAATGACCATTACACTGTGTGAAGTCCAGTTCTGTGTGCAATCTCCTAAATAATTGAAGGATTTCATGCAAAAAGGGCGCATATCACCCAAAAAGCGATGTACATGTATGCCCTTTTGCACAAAATCTTCAATTAACTAACACAAACAACCACAAAGCAGGAGCTCAAACATGATTTCAGAACAAACTGGATAACATGTATAGCTGTACCTACGTGTAGCCCATACATGTGTGCGACTTCCTGATAACCATCAGATTTAAGAACTTTGCTTTTATTAGTATGATTTAATAGTGTTTTAAATATGTTTGGCATTTGGAGACCAAAGGAACAGATCCACATCTCATTACAGTGATAATGCTGTATATGAGCAATTTGACCTTAACTGTGCCACCTTCCCAGAGGATGTTAATTGTTTTCACCAATCAAAATGTAACATGTAAAGTGATGGAGGTGAAATCCCAGATGTTAATCGCCTTTGAGCAGGCTCTCACATCATTTTTGCAAACTCACTGACACACCAAAGTGGAAAGCCAGAAAGCAGAGTTTCAGTGCAAAACCAAAATACTAGAGCTTGCTTGCAGGCTAAGATGTTAAATATTATACTGGTACACAAGCCCATGTTGATGGGTCAACTCCATGCCTGTCACTTTCATGTCAGAAATCAGTCAACAACATAATTGGATAACAATTATTTAGCATCATACACAAGATACAGCTGTACTGTCAATAATGAATATTAACATGTACATGTAGGTGTGTAGAGTTTGTATGAACTTTGGCCAACTTGAATCTACATTAACCTGTCTATGAGCTGACATGGAGCCTTACCAATTTCCTTGACAGGTTGTGTGACACCAATCTCATTGTTGACTGTCATCACTGATACAAGAGATGTGTCAGGTCTCATGGCATTCTCAAGTTGCTGTTGGTAATGATCCAAAATGCACATGTCAGAAAAAAAATTTCTAACTTGAGGTTGGGTAACAAATCAATCAGTAAAACCTTTCCCTTGATTTTGAATGTCAAAAATAGCGGCCAAACTGATCAACTATCACCTCATAGAAATCGTGAGCTGTGGATCTACATGACTTGAACATTGTACAGTTGGACCTCACTGTGTTGAATTTGGTCAAACTACCCGCTATCTCGTACTTATATCATTTTCCCTTGGATATACCTCTTCAGTCTTTTACTATTGTTTACTATGAAACCCTGCTACTGTGTGTTTTTTATTTCTCTTGGGGGTTTGACATTGCAGGGTAACTTCAACTGAAGACTTATCATCATGTTGTTAATTAATACAGCCTTAAAGTACCAGTCAAATATAAGTTGACAGCCACCTGAAACTCGAACAACTATACTTAATCCTCGAAAAACAAAATATTTTAGTCAAGTTGTTTCAGTTTTAAGTTGAGACATTTGAGTTTCAAGTTGACTCATGACTTATCTACTGCTTGTTGATATTCCTTGTCAGTTTCTTTTGTTATGTATTTGAGAAATCTCAAATAAAAATAGCTTCTTGAAAAGTGTCTTGAAACTCAAAACTGGAGACTCAAAACTTGACTCTCGAAACTCAATCCTTGATTCTCAAAACCATCATGATGGAGTTTCAAGTCGAGATTGTCAACTTGCCATTGACCAGCACTGTACCTACAGCTTTCGTATTTCAGGGTTACAAAAACCTTAAAATTAGCATACACTACCTGTAAGTCAATCAGACCATTTTTCATGACAGGTAAATAGGTCACGTCGAAACCTTCACTCTCAAGTGCACGACAAGAATCCAAAACACACTTGTGCTCCTAAGGACAAAGCAAATAAAATTGCTTTAAACCTTGCTGTGTTGAGCTTCCTACTGTCACTTCATGCACATGTAAAATTGCAACACTATAAAATTAAATTATATGTGATAAGCCACAAAGCATGGAATTTAACTTAAAGTGAGTGTTCATATCATACTCACAGTTTGCGTTGTAATGACATGCTTCTTGTTCTTTTTGTAAAACCGTGCCACTCCCTGGAGAAAAAAAACATTGTGTATTTGATTACCTTTTCAACTTTAAAATAGAGGTAGGCGTTTTTGTCTGTTTATAATGTACTTTCCCTCTGCTCTATATGAATTGCATGGTACATGTAAATCAAGACAATCAGCTTCAGAATTTTTGATGTGGGATTTTCTTTTCTTAGACATACTCATCCAAGCTACATTCACATGAAAAAAAAAAAAGAGACACTCTGGGAAACAGAATGATTTTCATTGCCTGTCTCCTTATTTGATATTGTATGGAGAAATGACATCTTTCTGCTACAGCCAAGGAAGCTACAGTAGAAATATGAGCTGTAAATGCCCCACCATTTCCCATTGTTTCCTTCTACTGCTAGGCTTGTGAATAGTTTACAAAGTAAATTTCGCTGCATTCCAGTAGAGGTACATGTAACATGAGAATAACAATACAAAATCAGGGGCAGTTCCAGAAAATCCAAAAAAAGGGAGTCAAAGAAATTGTGGCAGAGCGCAAGTCAACCCTCGGCCAACTGAGTGAAAAACTCTGCTCTAATGAAGGTTGGTCAAGTTTTATTACCCAGGCAGTGAGGCCTGGGTTTAAATTTCGGCTCTGTTTCTTTTTTTTTCCTCGTTCAGTCACAAATCGCCATCTGGTCTCTAAAGTGCATGCGTCAACTGTGCATGTGTACAGCACATGGAATTTACAGAAGTTGTCGTCGTGAGAAGTTAGCAGGGATTCCATGATTTCTAAGGCGATGAAATCATTTACAAACGAACACACCATTCAAGGTAGACCAACACTAAAGGACATTAAGCGTTTTCGAAACGGGTCGGTTTGCAAGCCTTACAAGAGATCAATTTACGCGCGAACATTTTGAGTGAATTTATCAAGAATCATGTTATACCAAAGGAGCCACCAACCGGGGCTATCAACTCTTCATCTTGATAAAAAGCATCTTTAGAAGCGTCATCGTATGATCGTGAACCGAGTAGAATCCCAGCATGAACGCAAGAACATCTGAGCAGCGAGAGCAGAAAGGTGAGAGAATTTGTTTACGTATGTATCTCTTCGAGTACACTTAAGTAAAATGCTATGAGAAACTTCGTTAAGTATAATAAAGATAAAATCTCGAACTAAACAATATTTTCTCATTATTTTCTTGTAACAAGAGTGAAACCCATGTAGTGAATTACTGTACATTTAAGCTGAAAGAAACTGATGTACATGTACACGTATGTTGACCCTAGCAAAACAATTCTTGGTTTGCATTGTCACGCAATCCTGACGCAATAAAAAATTTATTTGAAAACAATTTAGCGGATTAAATCAAGCAATTGTGATGTTATAGGAGATTAATAAAGATGACACTTCGCTAATTTTTAAGTCTGTGCGTTTTACCAAGCTCAGATTTTCATCGAAATATTTTGCACAAATTTACAGAGACCAGTACCTCCGCAGTATGCCAACATCGCGGCCGGAAAATAGTGAAAACATCTGGAGCTTACTTTGGCTATCTAGGGGACTGATTATCTGTACTGAACAAACAAGCATTTACATAAGCACTTTTCCTAGTACTTTAACTGCTGATTGGGCTAAAAATCACGAGATAAGTATATGTTTTTCGACAAATGCGTTCATAGGTCTATGTCATGCACCGCCATAACTCGGAAATTCAAAATGTCTCGCTTGCTTGAGAAATGCAAATAAAAACGACAAAGGCTGAGGAAAATAGACTGAAATGTTTATAGGCTGATATAAAGACCTTGACTCTTTTCACGCCCTAAAGACCTGCAAACGAGTAATAAGCCATTAATCGATTCCAAGAAATGAAATTGAAAGCAGAAGAGCTTAAGCACATCGATTCGATTGAATTTCGTACAACTTCAAATGCATAACATTTAGCTCAATTGCAATATAGCTAGTGCTTCTCAGTATAACGACTGCCTGGGTACATGTAGCAAAGCGTCTAGTTGAAAATAAAAAAGGGGGGGACACCCCCTCAGCGCCCCCCTCCCAAATCTGCCCCTGAAAAATGCACCACAAGAAGGAAATTCATGAACATGTTAAAGCATTCCTAAAGATCTAGAGCTCACTTACTGAGAGAATCAATTAGAGTCTTCATTCACAAGTTGTCATTGTATACTCATTGGACTGATAAGAAGACACGACTACTGACAGAAAAGATTTGTTTTCAAGGTTGACCAGTGAACAATGCAGTTGGTACAGTGTAAATACCTTGACAGAAATGTTGTTTGATTCTGTAGCTCCACTGGTAAATACAATCTCTTTTGGATCTGCACCAATCAAGTCTGCTACTTGCTGCATAAAGAAGAAATTATAGTTGAGTGAATGCCAAATAAATGTATCATATCATTATTGATTGCCAGTATATATTCATGAACAGTTAACAAAGAAACCACATGCATGCACTCTCCTAAAGGGGAATGGTTATGAAGCCAGTCCGCCAAACTTCAAAGAAGGGATCAAAGAAGACAAGATTTACAGAAAGTTCTATTACTGTGTACAATGTACAGTCTCTAAAACATATGAACTCAGTTAAATGACCTTGCTCTCCATGAGTTCAAATAGCTCAGAGGATAGAGCGCCCGCCCAGTGTTCAGGAGGTCATGGGTTCGATTCCTGTCAGAGACTCAGATTTTTTTCTTTGTCCCACGCTTGTGTCATGTTGATCAATTCACCTTTCAAATTTCATTATTGAGCTTAAAATTCACCATCTTTATTCACTTATCAATGCACAATCTTTGTTTTGCACTCATGGTACCATACATACATCAATTATGTAACCAAAACATTGCTTAGTTCCTCTTTTAGAAGTAAATAACTGAACATTGTGTTTTGTGAACAGTCAAGGTCAAAAAAGGAACAAAAACATACAACAAAGAACTTTTTGTGCTTCATAACCATTCCTCTTTATTAACTACCGGTAATCCCAGGATGAGTTAAGTCCCCCAACAAATAC